AAATAACCCTTTAAAAAGTATTCTAGCAACTGCACCCTTTTAAATTTGGGATTTTTTGTCTTATTGTCATTAAAATAAGTTAATAAATAAGTAGATTTACATAAATATATTACAATGAGATTCAGATCTATATATAAAATATCACTAGAGTAGATTCTTACATAAAATCTCCAATTAAAGGTAGAACTATACTATCAATTATCAAATACAATCCAAGTAAAGGAATATTTTTTTTATTTTCCACCTTATATCAATAATACCAAGAATCAACAGAGTGTACAATTATAAAGATAATTGTACACTCCGATAAATGATAATGAAAGCATTAGTTTATATCTTACTACCTAATAATTTTGTAAAAACAGAACGCAAAAATAGTATTATAATAATAAGGGTATTTCGTAATATGAGTCTAATAACAGTACGTACATGTAGCAGTACAGCTTTCTAATAATGGAAATAAAATTAGAAGGAATAAAATTACTTTCTACGTTCGAGCCCTTGATTGTTGCAGTATGAAAGGTTAAAACTTGTTTTCAATTTTATTTACTTAATACTGTTACTGGATTTCGATAAATATCTTTTCTGATGCATCTTGTATTCTTACTAATATCACAAAATAAATAAAAGATATACTATTATTCCTAATTATAATTATGAATACGACTTTTTATTCTTTGATGTTTTAAAAGTTTTATGAAAGTTGGTATACATGAAATATTTTGTTTGAAGAGGAACGTAGGTTATGTTTTATTACGGTTAATAAACATATCTTGGTCACGCGAATAAAGTCGCAAGTAAAAGCTAGTACTGCATAAATATGAAAGTGAATTTGGTGTGAACGTTGCTTATTGGAGTCTTAATGGTTCTTAGTAATAGTAATAAAATTTTGCGTCCACGTAGTATTTGACACAGAAAAAGAAACGAACGACTTTTTGTCCTACATGGACAATATATCTCAGTCACGTAGACTAAGTTGTGACCGCAGCTAGCTAGTTTCATGTTGACTCACATGCACTTCAAAATTACTACGTTACTTTTTTATGTTGTATTTTTCAGTTTTCAACTGCTTGGCTTTATACAGTTGCAGCGCCCTTAGCGATAAATATAAATCAACAACTTTACGAGTATATTTTATTTGGTTTTGTAATATTTCTGACTATGGCAAATATTGCATTTTAAAAGTACTGTAAGTTTTTGTAAGTAAATTTTATTTTTATATTATTTACTGTATTAATGATATAGAGAACTGAATAAAGGAAAAACAGAAAAAAATGGACACTGGTACTTATTCTGTTGGATAAATATGACTGAGGTATTACTAACATGAAAACATTAGTAGGATTAATCTTATCAGAGCCGAGGGAAAAGGGATTGTTAGTAATAGGGTGAAATAAAGCTACTACTAACAAATACTCTATCAGGTCGATCTTCATGTGTTCCTCCTGGAAACTATAGGGGTTATTTCTAGTTGAAATCGTCAGGATGGACTAATTGACTGATGGTGGTCCATCAGTATATATCGATATTACAGGCGAGGTCATCATTCCATTATCACCAATCAAAAAAAATCTACTAGGGCGATCAAAAGTTAAAAAGTTTACTAATTATATACCATCCATGATACCTTAGTTGTTAGTGTAGATGAAAAACATATATTTGGAGTCATATTTAATAGAATTGCATCAGTTATATTCATAATATAAAGAAAAGTAAACTTATCAGCTAAATTCGAAACTCCGAGACAGTCAGTCTATTCACGAGCCTGTTTCATAGATATTTATTTAATACTTAAAGTTTCCGTGAACTTTATTACAACATCCGGAGATAATTACATTAACTCTCAATGAACTTTGATGTTAATTAAATAATTTATTAATACTTCAAACAAACACAAAGTGGTTTATAAAATAGTTAAATAATTTATACTAAAATGAGTCAGGTGTACGTAAATACGAGTATTAGTTGAAATTTTTTATTCTATGTCTAATGTTCATACTTAGCATAATTAGTAAATAATCGTAGAATTTCATTTTATTAAATTCAGTTATTTAAAATAAACAAATAAAAAATAATAATACGTAATATTCAGTCATCAGTTTGATTGCTATTCTAAGTTGCATAAAAAACAGTGAATAGAAAACCTTCTTAATTTATATTTATTTTATCATATCAGCCTTTAAATGTCCACTGCTGAACGCAAGCCTTCGGGGGTTTGCCAATAGTTGCCACTTAGGCAATATTGGCAATTTGGCAGGCGGATTCGTAACTGCAGTCAGGCTTTGGAAGTTTTAGAGAGACGCTGCTGCTCATCCCTCGCCCTTCCTTAGTCACCTCTTACGACACCCACGGGAAAGGAAGGGGTGGCCTGTTCTATGCTTGAATCATACGACTATATAATTTTCTTCATATAAATATTATTGCGTTAAAAACATATGCCAGGGCTTATTATACTAAGAATAGATAAACAGATAATATTTTCCTTTTTCGCAAATAATATTTCGTATAGATTAAATTATTTTCTTGTAGGTACTATCTGAAATTTATTTTCATCTTAGTTTTAATGGGTTAAATAAAATAAACGTGCTCATAACTATAATAGTGTATGAAAAGATTGATGGATGTGGGGGAAACGAAAGAGGTTTGTTTGGATCGAAGCATTTGGCATTCCATTGTTACTACGTACTCTAATGAGAGACAGGCGTGACTGATATATGTGTATGTATGTGATATATGAGTTAGAGGGAATTAGTTAACTATTGTCGTTGTAGTGAACATATCATCTGAGTTAAAAACATTTTACTGAACACATTTTAACTTAATATATTATAAGAAACGATTTAATTTAGTTTGTTAATTCTGCATATATAATGTTGAACGCGTTGAAGTTGGCAACTATTGGTGCCAAGAATCTCCCTTAGTCAGGATAACAAAAATTACATTTAAAATAAAAAATGTCTTGTGGGTTTTAGATTTCATGAAAACTATAGTGGTAATACGATATTATGTTCAAATATAATAATATATTAGAATAACTATTGTTCTTAACCTGTTAATATAACGTGAAGAAAAATCCTTATTATGATTATATAAGTATAAGTGGGTTCGTTTGTTTGTTACCTCAATGATATGAATTTTGATTTACATGTATTTGAGATGTTGAGGCACATAGACTACTTTTTACCCTGGTCAATCAACACATCCTGGTCATCCTAACGAAGTCGTGAGTAAAAACTAGTATACAATTTATAACTGATATTATAAATTAGTTTATAACTAATATACATTGTTAAAATAATTATTTCGTGAAACTATATATTATTCAGTAAAAAGCATTTTTGATGGTACAGTACTTGAACTTTCAATATCTTGGAAATCAATCTTGTCTTTGGAAAAAAATATAGATTAAAAATTTTATATATTATTATATATGTTTAGACGTACAAAAATATTCTATTATATTCTTATATTATAATAAGTATACGAGTAGGTTTGTTCTATAAATGTTGTTTGAACTGTAGACAAATTAATTGTATACTTAAAGGGACCGAGTTCGCCGCTTCCTCAAATATTTGGCCCTACCTTTGGGTTGTTTACTTGGTACATAAACTTCTAATAATAATTTATAACGATTTATACCGAGCACAGACTGAAAAAAATAGACAAAAATTACATTTATTTTAACAATAAGTAGCACGTACATAATTATAATTACATTATTTAATGAATAAGTAATAAATTGATATTATGGTACAAAAATTGCACAAAATAATATGTAAAGTGTAAAAAAGAAGCTGATTAAAAAAAGTCAATTTAAAAATATAAAAAGAACTTGTTACATTGGTTCGAGCATGTAGAAATATATCAGATGATATATAGACGATAAAGATATATAGATTTACAATACAACGATACAATCGTATAAGTACAGTAAGGCGGTCTTATTACTGAGAGCAATCTTTTCAAGACAAACTTAAGGTAAAGGACTAATTGTTGTACAAGTAGGTATGCTAGTACTGTATAACACGAAATATATATACATATATTATGTACGTATGTACTTTACATAAAAATTGAGGTATTCTATATTATATTCCTGTCAATAAGTTTGTTACGACAACAGGTTCATTTTATTCAAGTAATTATTTACTGAATTTATACATTTTTTTAAAATTATCTAATGAATATATAATTAAATGAAATAAAATATTTATTCTATAATGAATATATAAAACTGTTTTCAAATTATAATAATAAATAATTAAAATGAAAACAACATTTTCTATTATATCCACTCAAAAGGGAAACGTTTAAAGGGTAGATTTGGCCAAAAATCAAATTAAGGAAACAATACCCTCGTAATTGTAAAAAAGCTGCGAAGAACTTGATACTATTAATATTCATTGTGTATACCTGAGATAACTGTAAAAGGGATCTCGAATGGTGTTTATTATTGTACCTACTGTAATAATAAGCATACCTTTATTTGTGTATAATATTCTTAAGCTAGGGTGAATTGGGCAAATGGGCGCTTAGATGACCAGTTTATGGAGGCCTACCAAGTTATGATTCCTCGTAAACCTTTTTTATATAACTCGGAATGATGAACAAACTGATCACTCTGACTGGAAAGTCGTGTATATATATAAATAGTAATGGTATTATTATAGTGATATTATATGTTACATGATTCATAAAGACTATAAATGTTATGCCTTTCTATCCTATAATTTCGCTGCCATATGTCAAATTTCAAACTGAAATACATCCATGCACACCTATTTGATAGGAGAATCACGAGTGGGGTTAGAGATAACCAAGTACAGGACATTCATATAAAGTTCTGCTCCTCACAGAAGTTCGTTATTCCGGTACTGATAATTTGACCTCTCTTTAAGTTTTTTCCAACTGGATATTTAATTAGCTATATATAATAATATATTAATATTTAGTATTCGAGTAGCTTGTAGAATTAATTTTTTTTTTCTTTGTTTTAATAGCTATAACATCAGCACACGAAATCACTCAACTGAAGGTGCCGCTGTATGCAGATCCACGGAGACCCGCAGTCCTAAGCTGCCATTTCCAAATGGATGATCAGAAGTTACACTCTGTCAAGTGGTACAGAGATATGGACGAAATATTTAGATATAATCCATCTCAAAAGGTAAGATGTATGTACAGTAGATTTTTTATGTAACTTAAAATGGTACCTACACATGCAGTTAGTTTAACAATTACAATCAATTTCATGTAAAAAAGTGTATTATAAGTTCTTCAATGTTTAATTTGTTTTATGATAGAGAAGAAACTGTTGTTAACATAATAATAATAATTGTTAACTCCAAGATGTAAAAAAATGTTATGAAAAGTGTATAAAATTGGTATATATACACAATTAATATAAATACACAAGTACAATGAATTGTTTACGCGTTGGTTAGTTTCGTTTGTACGCAGAACACGAACGCTTGACCGCCTCTTGTTTGCGGTAAGCAGAAATATGTCACTTCCAGAATCAACAACTGTCACTTCAAGATGAAAATAAACTTGTATTCAAGTATATACGTAGATACAGCTAATTTTATGTATAAGTATAATAAGTACTAATAAATATTATATGGGTATAAATATTTAAACATGCTCGAAATACGCTTGATATTATTTTCGTAGAATCCAACTATACCTATGGAGGTCAGAGTTATAACAATAAGTTCATGACAATTACAAAAGATAACAAACAATAAAGATACCGGTATTCTATACGAGTATATAGAGAATTTTGGGGACAACATGACATCAAATTATTACAATTATTATATCTCTTGTCTCTATTGTGAAGCAAAGTACGAATATTGTAGCGTTTACGTTAAAGATGGCACTGGCAACCTTATGTTTTAGCCTTATACCTACAAACGACGATAAATACAAACTATACACCTCTGCATTTTTCCTTACGGTAATAAATATTATTTTTGTTTCTTTTTGTATATAGATAAAACCATAGTTATGTATTTTGATGGCCCTTACCAATTCTATCAGTAAATTCTCTACTTGTTTTAATAAAGTTATATGTTTGATTTCTTCTTAGTTTAAAATATAAAGTTTTGTTTCAGCCTCCTATACGACTGTTCAACGTGACAGGCATTATGGTGCAAGGAGGGGAGTGCCAAATAGACTCGTGTATGGTGAAAGTAATGCCTCCTCCGGTAGCTACGAGGGCGGCGTATACTTGTGAAGTATCCACGGAGGGTCCAAAGTTCCAGATAGCAAGACAAACTAAACATATGACTGTTGTTGGTGAGCTTTGGAAACTAATAATTTAGATATATAGTTGAAATTTTAAAGTGACTCCAATAGTTTAATATTAATTTTAAGATGACGGAAAGTTTGGAATGAAATATAATAAAAACATGTGATAAAATTTCTTTTTTGGGAATAAGTTATTTTGCTATAATCAAAAGTATACTCTATTGACTTAGATTTTAAGTCATGATAATAATATATTATATTTCATCAAAATGCACTCAGTAGTTTATGCGTGATGCGTTCACAGATACAGTCTTCTAAATAATTATTTATCTGTAACAAATAAAATTTATTTGTTACAGATAAATAATTATTTAAATCGCGCAAGTATGCGCCACCTACTCTTTTAACCAATGGTTGTGTTTATAAAATTTCATTAGCTGCATGATCTTTTTTTGTATGTATTTTTGTAAAATTCTATATGTTTTTCCACATTCTATTCAATTTTGATATGATTTTTAATAATTATTATTGTATCTTTTATAAGTAATATTATATTAAATAATTTGTAATAGTCTTCAAAATATATTTTGATTACTCTCCAAAACAGTTTACTCGTTTACATTTCCAACACTTTAGTAATTCCCATTAGAGACAAGTCTTTGTCATTAACACCCTCTGTAATTCAACTAGCAACTCGGCAAACTTTCGTAGAACTGCTTGATGTATTCAAATTCACTTTGCCCCCAGCGATGCCGGATCTGGACCCGATTATAAGCGGGGCCCCAAAGGTGCTGAAGCCTGGAGAGCAGATATTCCTGAATTGTTCATCAGACTACTCGTTGCCGCCGTCCGATATAAATTGGTATATCGACAACGAGCTACAAAAGGTCAGTTGGGAATACTCGAATAGTGCTATTACTATTGTAGCTACAATACAGTTCTCATGGTAAGAATAAATTAAACAATTCTATATAATACAGATTACTATTTTAATTCACTTTACTCATGTCTACGGCTATATTGGTATTGGGGTTACTGGCTACTTTTGGATTCAGGAAGAGTTCGTTATTCATAAGCTTGATTCTCGGCTAGTCGGGCAACTTCAAAGTTTCAAGTGTATCAAGTCCAAATAAATTATTATTATACTGCATAACTTATGATAGGTATTATTCAACAATAAATTAGTCTTGCTATAACGATGATGATAGTAAGAATACAATAATTTAATACAATAGTTAAGGGGGAAAGGGATTGTTAGTAATGGAGACTGAGAATCCCATTGCTAGCAATATATCCAACCAGGTTGACCTTGCGGTTCTCCCTGGAAACTATCATGGTTAATTTCTGATGAATTCATCATGATAGGTTAACTGGCCTGTTTTCATTCTCATCTATCACCCTTCACTGGTGCTCCGCCAGCGTATTCCGTTAGCGCAGGCGGGGTTACAATACCATTTTCACCCATCAAAAAAAAAAAAGAACAGTTAATAGTTTTAATAGAACTTGGAGTATGAAACTATTTTACATAACATAATTTAATTTTTTTCTCGTGGATTTTACTACTGTTTTATTTGCTTTATGCAGTAGTAATATGAGCATTAGTTTGTTTCGATTTTTGAGCTGAAAGGCATAAAATCTTAGAAACTTAAGCAGGGCAACTAATGTGTGATATAGACATGAAATAATAATATCTTTAAAGAAAGATGTAAAATATAGTATACAGAAGCGTCAGTTCTTATACATCTTCTCCCAACAGAGCTTGGTATGGCAGGTATGATACATACCGTACCTTCTCTAATAGTCCCTGGAGGTTTATCCAAAAGGATTTTTCGTGAGACGTGAGTCTCCGAAGTGCCTAAAAAGTATGCAACCTCTTATTTTATTTGTAATATGTACCCTTTATAAAATTTATGATCGACACTCAACACGACTCAATTATACGAATAGCGTAGTGCAATATACATGAAACGTTGGCAATAAAAATAAGATATGTAAGTACTTACAGGTAAATACCTGTAATTATTTTTGTTAAGAGTCGATCGTGAATTGAAATATGTTTACACAACGCGAAAATTTAAAATTAACTAAATCGATTCTTTAATTGTAATATTTAATACCATTATATTATAAATACAGAAGTGAGTTTGTTTGTTTGTTATTTTATAACGCTTTAACAGCTAAACCAATCACTATGAAATTTGATACACATCCACTATGGGATAAAGGAAGGATATAGGCTACTTTTTATACTGGTCAATGAACATATAACCTAGTCACTAATCTGAAAGAAAACTAAACTAGAACAAAACTAGTCTAAAACAAAACTAGTTACTAGTCATGCAAAAGAAGTCATGGGTAAAAGATAGTAATTTGATATAAATCTAAGTGTTCGATTTTGTATTCTATTAAAGATATATAATTGACAGGATATTTATCTTTTCCTTTATGAGAAACGAAAAAATATCTGACAATATTTTATAAATTTTTTTTCATAGATATTCTTATTGTTTATCGCTAAGTATATGTATTTTATACTGTTTAAATAATAGATATTTCAATAGGGAGTTATAATAATAACTAAAGATAATTATTTACAAGGATTTACGTTTTCATGGGTCATATTGAGATAACTTTGTTAAATCAACTGAGTTAGTAAACAACTCAACTGTCGGTGTTTCTAAAGCGACTGCAAAATGAAGTGAAGTTCATTTTGTACCTACTTCTATATTTTGATTAACAACTTTTAATTAATTCCTTCTCTGCGATTTGTTTTCTTTACAAATAAAAAGATAATAAACTAAATATTTATTATAACATAAATAAAAAAGTACGTTTTAATTAATGGAATTAGAATGGTGCCTAATCTAGCCTGCATTATTGACATAAGCTGGCAGGATACCAGTGAGGGATGATAACTTTAGATGAAGCAGGTCAGTTGGTCTATCGTAATGAATTTAACTGATCACAGTGGTTTCCAAAGGTATCATTATTGTTAGCAATGGATCTTTTAGACCACATTTCTAATTGTCTCTTACCCGCTATCAAATAATCTTGTACTTAAGAAAGATTTATTAAATATAAAAGTATTGGTGCGGATAAGATTATTATTAACAGGAGTAGTTCTGAAATACTCTTTTATAGTACAGTAACTGGAAAAGAAATAACAGAAATATAAAATATAAATAATGGATATAATCTGTGTGATTATGTAATATTTAATTTTTATTAAAAATTATAAAAGTTGGTCGGTGCAATTTATTCTTTTTTTAATTTCAGCCCTAATTTTGTTGGGTCCCGTTGTACCTACAGGTCTTCACTGTTTACTTTATCTTATTTCCATATTTTGTTTTATAACTTTATGTAGAAATACGCTCCCCTTCAAAGTTTTGACAAGGACCCACAGAAAACGAGTCAAACTTTAGCAGATAACATTCTTTGCTATGGCAGCCTCTTAATATGACCTACATTTAAAATTTTCCTTTAAAAATATTTTCAGTAATGTACAAATTAACAAGCATTTACTGAAAGCAATATATTTCCTTATTTATTTTTCAACAAGCTATGTCATAAATAAGATGTAATGTATCTTATAATGTTTATATAAGACGTGGTCTAATGATATACCAATTTTTATTCGAATTCTTAAAAACGATAAAGCATTATTGTGTAATTATTATAAACAGCAGAATGCAGTAGTAAAATATACACGTATTTGTAATATAATATATTCGCAAATAAGTGAAATAACACTAAATATATACGTATTATATAAAAGACGGTGGCAGTTTACATTTTAAAAAACAATACATATTCTGAAAATACTAATGTAAACAAGTAGTTTTAAAACTCCAATATGCCTTCTAAATCCTGGATTTAGAAGGCATGTTGGACACGATATTGAAAAGCAGTTGTTTAGTTGCTGACTGATTGCTGAAATATTATACAACAGGGTCGGTTCTCCCCGTCAGCTTAGATAGTAAGGTATGGACGTACACTGCCTCTGTTTCCGCCTGGAAGATTACTATATACTCCGTGTCGGTGAACGAAATTACAATATATGTCTGCTGAAGACAAGCCTTTTTCACTACTAGCTATGATCACGAATCAAACATGCGATATGAAATTGTTTATAGCTCCCGAGACAATTTACAACGAACTTTCTGTAAAGTCAAGCAGTGTATGCCGACAATACATACTTTCCAGAAAAAAGTCTTTAATCTCTTTTCAGATGCCTTTTCTTTCAATACTTCCAGCATCACGATTCCTACTCACAATAAGAAGTCTCCTTCGTATTCGACTCAACTTTGTCTCTTTTACGTTACTCATTCCGAATGTACTCAGTGTTGGAGCGCTCTTCTTATGATAAAACAAGTACTCACTCGATTCATCGCATGTTGTCCAACATTTATCTTTATATAATAATTTAGTCTTCACAAAATTAACTGATATTACGTATACAGAGTGTTCAAGTGCCATAATCATGTCTTCGTATTCCGATGCAACATAATCTAAGAAATATCGATAGATTTATTCATACTTGCTGACTATAGAGCATACTATAAAACATGAGCTTGATAGTTTGTTCAAACTATGTAGTATCTTCAATCTCATGGTAAGATCTTTAGCATCAGACATAAGTTCCAGAGCATCCTAAGCTTGCGTTGTACTTTCAGCTCCATCCATGAGGTGATAAAAACAACATTTTTCAACGCTTAAGCAAATTATTGACTGCTTTATCATTTAGCCATTTCATTATTGTAGGTTTCGAACTATCATTTGCATCATATCCACAAATATAGTTCCAGAGGTTTTCAAAAGTTAGAGAATTCTTCATAGTAAATAAAGAAATTCTGCGAGTTCTTTTGTTAAACATCATGAAAATTTTCTACTTTTGTAGCTGAGCGTGTTACCTAATAAATAGCAGAATGCAGTAGTAAAACGTATATGTATTTGTAATATAAAATATTCTCAATTTAGTGAAAAAATACAAGATATATTTTATAAAAAAAATGTGACAAATTACATTTAAAAAAAATGCAATGCAGACAATCAAAATTGGTCGTACCTACGTTGAATCAACGACTATCAAAACTTTTATTACATCTAGATAGAAAAAAACCTCAAAATAATGATAGGGAGTATAACGGGCCATTGTCCATTAAACAAACATTTATACAAATTTCTATGTCGAGATTTCGACGCCGAAGAAACGGCTGCTCACGTATTTCATCTCTATCAACGTTTAGAAATCCTCGGAACGGTGAGTCGCTCCGTTGGAAGAAGCCAGGAAGTTCTAAAACACTGACGCATACGCACAATGGCCCAAATGAGAGGCTAAGCGCGGAAAATAGAGTCTTTTTCTCATTCACATTCATACTCGTACCAAAATCTTGAATACAATATTCTAAATTAGTAAGCTCAAAATCAATAAATTGTCAAAAATTAATTTTTTCTTCATCTTAATTTATAAGACGAGGGGAAAATTAACGAATATATAATCTTCTGTTATATCTCATGGTGATGGATTGGTTTTTCGGGATTTACCGAACTATCTGGCACTACTACTATCAATTCTACAGAACTGTGAAACCTGAGTCTTTTTCATGATAAAATAAAGTAAATATGTATGAAGAAGTCAAATTAGTGAGTTTAATAAATTTTCAGCTTTATCTATAGTATCATTCGATAAATGTATAATTCTAGATTCTTTAAATAAGTATTGAAATATTTTAAATAGAACAATTGTAAATCTATTTGCCTAAAGAAGATTATTTTAATTAGATCTGAGTTAACTTGGCTCTATGTCTGATAACATAAATTTATTATAGAATTATAAACGGATTATCTCGACGTGTAATCATGATCCAATACTTTTTAATATATTTAA